CACGTTTAAATTCAGCTGCCCAAAATTTCACTGTGGTAAATGATGGTGCAGAGTCCCCATACACAGAATCCAACTCATCTTTGATTTGCGTAGGCGTATTGCCTTTCAAAAACAAATATTTAATGACAGCTCGATACTCGATTTTGTCCATTTTTATAAAAACACTCACATCAACTCACTCAAACGACTGTTACATAACAACTGCGCGTCCAAAATGGCTGAAACTTTGGTGAGTAACTGTCAACAGATGAACAACGAAATTCACTAGCTTTTATTTACGAGTGCTGCCATCTTCATGTTGAGGTCGGAAACCTTTCAGACCACCCTTGTATACCTGCATCTACCTCTTTTGTAAAATTTAATTTTTTTCTTTCTCCATTTTCCTCCAGTTTGTGAATTACTAGCATCGGATGACGTGGATATGGATCAGTCAGGTGCGAGGTATTTTTGCGATTTAGCTCAGTCCTTTGATCCTCATAATCCGGCTGTATTTAGCTTGCGGGAGCGTTTGATAACCACAGAGAATGAAAATCCCATTGAAGTCTCTAAACTGCTATTAAAGGAGCTTGAAACCAGACCAACTGATGTGAACTTATGGGTTCGGCTACTTAAACACCTTCTACAAAACAACCTGATTAAAGAAGCATACGAACATGCATCTACAATCGAGGAACAATATTTGTCTATTTTTCATAACGACTTAACTTGGTACGAAACATTTGCCGAAGTTCTCGTGAGGTTTGAAAGTGACCTTACATATAGTTCTCAGCTCACTTGGGAGTTTTGGTTCCTATTCGTATCTGTGCAGGATAGATTGGTAGCCCTGAGTTTGGATGAACACTTAGACACTGTAAAAACTAGTACCGAATATGTAACTGCAGTCTTCAATTTCGATCAAATGCTGTCTAAAGCCTCGCAGAATATTCAGACATGTCCAGATCGCCAATTAGTAACAGTATTTTTGAGCCATTATCACGCTCAGTTATATTTCTATCTAGCCACGCTCATTTTTAAACAAGCTAAAAAGGATCTAATTCAGTTCAAAGAGGCTTCCAACGTAACCCTTCCCGTTTTGTTAGCGGCTTACCATTCCTCTCCCCCCGACTTGCAGAGTATGTGGCTGATACAATCTCCAGAAAATAGGAGACGCCTTGTACAACACTGGCACAAAGAAGCCTCTTATCGTTGCTCACAAACGGGACACATCCTTCTAGCTGCTGCTAAGGATAGAAAGACTATCGTATTAGAAAAGGCAACACAGTATTCAACGGGAATGTGGCGGGAACAACTCTACAAGAAGGTGTTTGTGAAAAGAGATCAACAACTCAAAATATCGACAAGTTTTTTCGTTTCAAGCTTCCAAGTCTTAGAGCCAGTTATAAAATTGCCTGATCCTCTAGATTTAGTAAAATTCGATGAAGTTGCTCAGCTAGTATATCCCGACTCTCTACACCACTACATTTGGCTTGGTCTAAATAGTAAGTTAAGCGACATGGAGGTGAAATCTTTCGAAGGCCTGCAGTATTCCATAAAAAATTTGAACAATTGTGCTGCTGAGGCACTAAACGTTCTGGATATTCAGTCGTTTCTTTATTGTGCTATTCTCTGTGCCAAGTCCAAAATGGAGGATACTAAAAATTTGATTTATTACAACCATGATAGGCCTACTGTTTTATCAGCCTGTGTAACGGACCATTTAGGCACTTTAAACCAGTCAAAGTTTATATCAGCTGCTTATAAGATGTATAAAAATGAACAGGGAGCTAATATGGGAGAAGTTCGTTTGCTTCTAATTAAAGCCATCGAAGTGGTGAGATGTATAGGTCATCACGGCTTGGATGTGAGACTATTGGTTGCTTTAGCGAAAATATTTGAAGAGCGTTCGAAGAAACTTGCCAAACAGTCGGAAATCGAATTTAATGATGCGAGAGCTGAAATGTACTGGAAAACTGCCTTGCCGTTTTTGGAGAAAGTGAAAAATAATCAGATGATTACGTATTCTAATAACAGACTCTTTGAATATAAAGGGAAAGATATATCTATTTCCGAGGCATCGTCTTACATTGAAAGTGGGAAGTTGTTCACAGCTATACAGCTGATGAAGAAGAAGGAATATGAAAAAGCGTTACATATCTTCGAACAACTGAAAGATCCTTACGCTAGTTTTTACCAGTCGGAAATTTATAAACACATGGCTGATCAAAAAACCAACCAGAACAAAGAAAATGTTACATCGGAAATGAGGAGCCAAAATATTATCTTACTATCGAGAGCCAGGGACTGCCTATACCTCACTCTGGACAGACTTCGTGAACCGTCAGTAGACAGAACGCATCCCTTAAACTCTCAACTTGGTACTGAAATCGAGAAGATAGAAAGACTTTTGTCACGCATTGATCCAGACTGTACGAACCGCAATGAATGTGACGGAATGTCTGATGAGAACCCGTCCTCTGACAACAGCGCAGGAGATCATTATTTAACGACTTATACAACTCACACCAGTTTTCAGAACGGCCCGCCTTATACCCCAAAACATGATAACCATAATCATTCCACTCCCATGCGTTATAACATTTCAAGGCAAGAGGCTCGCCCTAGTCCGGAAAGACTGGATGCTCAGATAAGACAAATGACAGCTACAAGGGATAGCACGCTTACCAGCATTTTGGAGCAGATTAAAATCATGGTGGAATCGCACCGAAGCCTTCTGGATGAATTGCGGAGCTTTAAGGATACGACAGTGGACGATTTGAGGTCTGTGAAGAAGGGATTCGAGGAGCTGAAAGATGTTAAAAAATCTGTGGAGGATTTGAAGTCGTCTGTTGACGAGCTGCAACAGAATCTTTTGGATGTAGTACAGGTAAGATGTTCAGTATATTATCTGAAGCCTCGTGTTTAATTTCTTTAGCTGTTTTAGTTGTTTTTAGTTCTTTGGTTGGTGGGATAANGTTTCGGGCGTATAATGGTGTATCCAAGTTTCATCTACAGTAATTAATCGGCACCAAAACTCGGATTTATTGCGCCTAAACTGCGCCAACAGAGCGTTGGAAATGTTCATTCGAACACGGTTTTGGTCTAACGTGAGCAAACGCGGCACCCAACGCGCGGACAGCTTTCTCATCTATACTAATATTATAAAGAGGAAAGATTTGTATTTTTATATTTACGAGATTTGTCTAAAAAGTTCGTATAGAAGTTGAATAAAAAATTTATTTTACAATCGGGTAATTCAACAGTATCCCCTTCAAAGTACTCCCCTCAATTAAAATACACTTCCGCCAACGTTAATTCCACTGCTGGAAACACCTCTTCAGTTCATATTCGGTTATGTTCTTTAATAACCTCGTCGTCTCCTTTTTAATCGTTTCCACCGCACCTAATTGCCTCCTTCGAACCAGCATCTTACATTTGGGGAACAAGAAAAAGTCGCATGGAGCTAAGTCAGGCGAATATGGAGGGTGCTTCATCAATGTCATTAAATTTTTAGCCAAATAGTCGCGGATAACTAGTGATGTGTGCGCTGGTACATTGTCATGATGCAAAATCCACGAATTGTTCCTAGCCAAATCGGGGCGCACACGAAAAATTCGCGCTTTCAGCCTCTTTAGTACTTCAACGTAGAATTGTCCATTCACTGTTTGACCTGGGGGAACAAATTCATGATGCACAATGCCACTGGAAGAAAAAAAAAACAATGAGCATTGTCTTTCACGCTCTCCCGGCCTTCACGAAATCGTTTCATCCATTTAAAAACTGTTGATAGTGTTTATGTTGATTTAATATGTGACAAACACGTTCTTTTGACATGTTCATAATAGGGTTTCTGGTCGAGACTTCTCGAAGCGAGAATTCCCGGGAAATCTGGCCTTACTCGAGACGAGAAAAAAGTGTTGAGAAATCGAGAAATCNTGTTAAAAAATCTGTGGAGGATTTGAAGTCGTCTGTTGACGAGCTGCAACAGAATCTTTTGGATGTAGTACAGGTAAGATGTTCAGTATATTATCTGAAGCCTCGTGTTTAATTTCTTTAGCTGTTTTAGTTGTTTTTAGTTCTTTGGTTGGTGGGATAATTCTGTTATAATTTTTAATAATGTATTTAATTTCATAACCTAATTATTTTCGAAAAAGGAAAACATTTGTTTTACAAGTAACTGCACTTATTTGCCTACTTCTTTAAAAAGGTGAAAATATTAGATAATTTTATTAGTTGGGAGTAATTGAAAGTAAAAAAACTAATAATAATTAATAAATATTTAGGTAAAACATAGTGAGTGTACTTCGACGTTGGTTGGTGTATTAATCCACAGAGTAGTGAGTTTCCCACAATATTATATACCTATATTTACAGAGTGTGTTCCGGAATGGGGTACCGCACTCTTGTAAACTTTTTTATTGTTGATATTTTGAGAAAAAGTTATTCTCGATAAAAAGTTTTGCTTATCTTGTGAAGCCATGTACAGTAATCAAATTTGTAATAAAACATACCAGGCATCCAAAATATTTCAAAATGTGAAATTTTCCCTATGCAAAGTGCCTTTAATTTTTGTTTTCATTAAAAACTGTATTTAACAAAGTTGTTCGGGAACTCAAAAAATGCTTAAATGTGGGATTTAGTAAGAAAAGAAGGATAATCACATTGTGCAACTAAAAAAACGCCGCAGTTTTTAACTATCCTACATACCATATAATTACTATGGATATTTCCTCAGCTATTTCCTTATTAATGTCAAAGTCAACATATTTATTTTTATTAACTGTCCAGAATAATTTTTTTTAATAATGCTAACCCTGGAGCAACGAATCTACCTTATGGTGTTATGGAATCGGTGATGTTTCATATCGATATGCAATAAAAATATTTGATGAAAAGTATCCAAATGTAATTGTAACTCGTAGAGCAGATCACAAGCTAATTATACAATTTGATACCACTGGTGAATACTTGATGAATAATGAAAAGATAAAAAAAGAATACAATGATAACTACTGTTGTAGTTATAAACTCTGTAGAAGACAATCCAGGAAAAAGTCAGAAAACATATATATTAGTTGATCTCATTTTCAAAAAATTTTAGAAAGCTACAAAATATCCATTTAAACTAATGTTTAATTATAAATTGTTGGAGATGATGGTCGTCGTTTGGACTTTTGTTTAACAATGGGCGAGAAATAGAAAACATATTCTTTCATCACAATATTTTACTTACTGACAAATCAACATTCACAACTAATGGCGTGGTTCCTTCTCAAAATTGTAGATACTGGGCTAAAAATGTTCAAAAAGAAAATAAATGTCTGGTGTGGCGTAACGTATCATAAAATAATTGGTCCTTACTTTTTGGAAGAAAATCTTATTGAAAATTCATATTTGGAAATTTTCAAAATTTATTTTTGCCAGAACTAGATAGTGAAAAGAGTGACCGCAAAAAAAGTCATTTCTCCGCCTGTTTTTGAGACTGACAGGGGCAACAGGGAAAATCCTAAAAATGTTCTCAAAATAACCAAATACTCGTCATGAAAAATGAAAATGAGCATCACTTTCAGTTTTTCGAAAATTTTCAAAAATCACCCTTATTTAGAGGTTGAAAAGATAAAAAAAAAGTGAACAGATTAAGAATCATCAACAGTTGTAAAACAACAAAGTTTACAATTTTTTACAATTATTTCTATGCTGTCGTCCTTTATTATTTTCCCAATAAACTACTCTTCATCGTAAAATTTCACAATATTTTAGTTCGGTTACTTCCGTTACTAATTTAAAAACACAATTTGTTTTATTAGTAAGATTTTAATTTTCATTGTTATTTTACCACACAAATTTTTACTTCAAACAAACTAGACTGTTTTTTCAACAGTACCTATGTAGGTAAATGTAGGTAAAGCAATAGCAGTTAGTCCGTATCTCTACGATGTTTTAACGAAAACTGAATGAAATATTTTTAATCAGACCATTTTATTTAAGTACTTTCAGTAATTTTAAAAAATAATTTTAAAAATCTTTGTACTCTATCAGGTAATTTTTTGTACTTTTTGTAATTTAATACGTACGTTTTGTAATTTCATACATATTTTTTGTAATTTTTGTAATTTACCAAAGAACTTTAATTCCTATACTTTTAAAGTAATTTTAAATTATAATATCTCAAACGTACACCAGAAATTACTTGTGACACACCCCTCGTTTAATTTCTTTAGCTATTTTAGTTGTTTTTAGTTCTTTGGTTGCTGGGATAAATAAAAATGATATACTATGTTGACGCGTTTATTTTTTTAATTATCCTTATAACTGAGGAATTTGTTAATTTGATTTTTTTTTATCCTACAGGACATGAAGAAAGAAATCAACGAGTTAAAAACTCACACAAAAAACAATCAGTTGAGTGACGAGGATCTCTATGTCCTTGACCCAGACTACGGGGTAGATTATAATATTAATTCCAACATTGGAGCATATAATACGAACTTGCCTAGCGTTTATCCCAATTATCAACCAGGAAGGATCGGAAATGCCAGTAACTTAGCAGCTGCTTATGCTCCACCTGGATTGTATCCAGGGCTATACCCAGGTTTAACTTATGCTTACGGAGGACTAGGTTTACCACAACCAGGTACTTTTTTATGATTATAATGAATTTCAAATGAAATGCTACTTTATTTCTTTACTAATTTTCGTTCATAATTTAACAGAAACAACCCCAAAAATTTGATTTAAAAAAGTTATCTTTGACAGTCTATACCTCAAAAATAAAAGACGCTAGAATTTATGGTATTTTTTTCCCAAAACATCCTGTATATCAAATGCATAAATTACTAAATTTCTTACAGGTGCACTTCCATTTGTGCCCGACCAACAGCTACCGTCGATTTCTGCTTCCGTCGCTGCTAGCTACGCCCAACCAATTTTAGGTCAGCCGTCTCTCACTCAGGGCTTGCCATCTACAAGTTTGGGCATCGGAATGCTCACAGGGCAGATATTGTCGCACACAGTCCCTCACATCACTCAACCGATAAAGGAATCCTCCAAGGCTGTACCCGCCAGCACCACCCAAAGCCTCTTCTCTTCGTCGCCCTCCTCTTCTGCTACAGCAACAATAAATAAAGCAGCGCCGGTAAACGTCGTGATAACCAATTCGGATCCACTACCTACAACCAGAGCACTTACTTCCCAACCAGTTCTGTCGGTTACTATACCGCCGCAGCATATAAAGAGCAACATTGCCAAATCTCAGCCTCATAATTATCAGATTCCTCTACCGTCTACGGCCGTGACTGCGATAGCGTCTACTCCGTCCGTTTTGAGTAAACCTCCTCCTGCTATATCTACGCAGAGTTTGTTGTCTAACGTGTCGCCACCGGTATTTTCCGCGGTGGCTCAAACAAAGAGCCCGTCTAAGAATGTGAGTCTGGGTCTTCAGATCGAAAAAACTCTTGACAAAACTTTCAGCCCCGACAAAAATAATTCAACGTTGAATAGAAGCAACGTTTCTACGAATTCCGTCGAAGAACATGACCCTTGCCCCGATTTCAAACCTATAGTACCTCTGCCAGACGAAGTTCCTGTGAATACGGGCGAGGAATGCGAAACTGAACTGTTCTGTGAACGTGCAAAACTATTCAGACACGTCAATAACAACGGAGTCAAAGAATGGAAGGAGAGGGGCGTTGGAAGCTTGAAAATCCTGCACAATGCAAGTACGGCAAAAATTCGGATCCTCATGAGGCGAGACCAGGTCCATAAAATTTGCGCTAATCATTTCATTACGAAGGACATGCTGTTAACGCCAATGGCAAACAATGATAGAGCTTACGTTTGGGCTGCCCACGATTTCGCCGATGAGTCCGTCGTGTTGGAAAAGTTCTGCGTCAGATTCAAGACATCCGAAGAGGCCAAGAAGTTCCATGAAGCTTTCGAGTCTGCTAAGAAATTGATTGAAGATCCTGCCAAGAAATCACCCCAAAACTCTGCTATTAAACAAGACGTCAAACCAAAGAAAACGGAGCCGCAGAATAAAAGCGTGGCCAAGCCAGCAGTCCCAGCTACCACTTCATTAGGAGGTTTCGTGTTTACTAGCACTCCAACGTTCAAACCCAAAGAAGCAGTGGCACCCGCTAAAATAGTAGAGGCTGAACAATCGCCAAAATCTAGTCCGTTCTCGAGCCTCACCTTCGGAAAAGTTAACGTTACCCCTAACACGTTCAAAAGTGATTTCAAGCCAGTACAAACAACGGAAGCGACGACATTTTCTCCGTTAGTCATTTCCCAGAACAAACCGACGACTCCGCAAAAGGAGGACGCCGATGACGATTCTCACGCTGAAGACTTCGTCCCAACGGCGGAATTCAAACCGCTCGTCGCCCTGCCCGAGTTAGTTGATCATAAAACAGGCGAAGAGAACTCGGAGATACTGTTCGAGTGCAGGGCCAAATTATTCCGATACGACACGAACGGGGAAGTGAAGGAGTGGAAAGAACGCGGAGTCGGGATCATCAAAATCCTCAAAGACGAATCCGTTAGGTTACTCATGAGAAGAGACCAAGTGCTCAAAGTGTGCTGCAACCACAAAGTTTTGAAGAATATGGCCTTTAAATTGAACACCAACAATCCGAAGGCGGTGGTGTGGCACGCCCAGGACTTTTCCGAAGGCGTTTTAACGCCGGAAACCTTCACGGTAAGGTTTAAGACTGAGGAACAGGCCAATCAGTTCTTGCAGGTGTTGCAGACGGCTCAGACGTCGTTGGACGAGAACAACAAAGTAAGCGGCAAACACCACAAGCCCGATGCGCGACCGAGAACTACCAGTTTCGGGGATAAATTTAAGCCGGCGAAGGGTAGTTGGGAGTGTAAGAATTGTTACATTATCAACGAAGGAAAGACAAATCACTGTATCGCTTGTGAATCTCCTAAACCCGGTACCACTGCAAAGAAGCCGGAAGAATCCGAACTCTCGGGACCAGTGTTCTCCTTTGGGATTCCCACGACCCAAGCAAGTACTCCGCCGACTAGTGAAGGAACGAAGACCGGAGGGTTTACGTTTTCTCAGAAACCTGCTCTCGACACCAGTAAAGGTAAGTCCATCGAATCTAGTAAAAACTAGTACAGTAAAGCTCGGTTATGACGTACCGGCGGGGACTTAAAAAATCGGTACGTTATATCGGAAGTACGTTTTAAAAAAATTATTAAAAATTTTATTAATTCTTAACAAAAATATAAACATACATATAAAAGCAGCAATAGAATAACAGCATATATGGATTTTGTTCTTAAAACTTAAAAGCGATACTAAAAATTGTTTTTATTTGCACCACAAAATAGGTATAATAAAATATCTAAAACTACTTTCCAAAAAAGTCTTATATGAGTTTGTTTTTTGCGATTTATAAGGATCTGTTGCTCTAAATACATTTCTATTTCCAGCGATGCACTTAAAATACTTCAGTACTAATTTTACTTTCTAGAAATCGTTTTACATTTTTTATTCCTCTAATTGCGTCGTCAAACGTTACGGACGTTTCTTCTTCAGGTTCTTCTTCATCTTCTTCACTATTAACCTGCTCATCTTCGTTAATCTGGTCAAAAATATTTTGCTCTGTAGCCAAATTCATTGTAACTCTTTATCCACGTCAACGAAAGCATCAATGAATTTAATTTTTTGAAGTTAAAATTATTTTTATTTAACCACACACTTAGAGGTAAGTTATCGTCATCCTGTTCATTAGCAACTTGTTTAATAAACCATTGGTTAAGAGGTAAGTCATCGTCCTCGTCGAACTCGCAAAGAGAGGGCCATGCATGTTTGAAACAATTTTCAATTGTTTTTTGGGCAACCTGTTGCCACGTTTTGCAACCATTTCAACAGCATCAAGCAAATTTATTGTTATTGGTGTGCTATTTTCGATGCACTTAAGATTACTGGTCATAAACAGTCATCGATAACGAACTTTCAAACTGGAAAAATGCCAGTTCAGTATTGGTCAAATTGGAAACGTGAGGATGAGCAGGTCAACAAGCAATAATATCCGCCTGTTTTCTTTTACCAATTGTTTGTTCCAAGATCTTAGCTCACTTTCAAAAATATTTGCGGTCATCCATGCACGCTTGTTTGCCGTATAATTAACCCGGCAATTTTTTTACATTTTTAAAACATCTGGGCCTATTAAATTTACCAATAACTAAGAGTACGTTTTTCTGTCCCGGTCATATTTGCGCATATAAGAACCGTTATTCTTTTCTTAGAAAGTTTTCCTTTAACACATTTTTGACCTTTAAAGCTCATTGTACGATCTGGAGCAAGTTTATAAAAAAGACCAAGTTCATCAGCATTAAAAACATCATTCTTGCCATGGTTCATAAGTAGTGGAACTAATGTTGATTTAACCCAATCCAACGCATTTTCCTTGTTCGCACTTGCAGCTTCCCCATGGATTTTACTGGAACTTGCATTGTGCCGCTTTTTGAACCTATGTCACCAACCCGAATCACAAGAGAATTTATGTATAAAATGTACATTATAATCAAATTTTTAGATGATGGGATCAGGTATTTTGGTACTTTATATCAGAAGTACGTAATAACGGAGTTCGTTTTAACAAAACAGTTAACCATTGAAGGTCCTATAATAATGCCGGGACTTGTTTATTCGGTACGTTATAGCCATAAGTACGTAATAAGCGTGTACGTGGTAACCGAGCTTTACTGTAATTCACACAGAAAAATGGTGAAATTACAAAGCAGCAATATATTTGGACATTCTCGTTTTATCAAATTAACGTTGGTCGTTTCTTTGTTTCCCCTTTTTGCTTTGCCATAGATGGATTGATATTATGTGGTTCACCTGAACTAGATTAATATCAGAGGTTATTGACATTGAAATTCACAAACTAAACAAAGTGCTTTAAAAAATAACCACTATTTAAGATCTGAAATGACAAAAAATCATTAGCATTTTAGTTTTACAAACAGCAAAAATAATTATTTTAAAATAAATTACAATTAACAAAGTATGCCTATCCACATATTGGTTAATATTTAATAAATTATTGAAGAAATTGACTTTATTTAAATAATTTTATTTCACAAATGGTTTATAAAAATTTATTAATTTTTACGAGGGCAGTAATCCATTTAGATTTTGTGAATCTGCTCATTGAATGCCCTGCACGACGGTTTAAAAAGTCTACAAAACAATTTTATTCGTTAAAGGTATAAGTTTGGACACTCCCGGACAAAAGTTCACATTCGGAATACCGCAGGCCGCCACAGCTACAACAGAACCCGTCAAAACCTTCGCCTTTGGTACTCCAACCACTACAACGGCCGGAGCTGCGACTCAATTTTCGTTTGGGGCCAAATCGAGCCTTGACGCCACGAAAACATCCAGTATCTTCACCGCTCCCGCCAGCACTAGTTTTTCATTCACGCCTGCTGCCACCACGACATCCACTAAATCCGATTCTAAGTTTGTGTTCGGTTCCCCGCAAAAACACGAATTTGAATTTAAACCACGTTCGCCAAGAAGAATCAGCTCGGGTCAGGGTGATGAGGAATCCGACGGCAGCTACGTAGAGGAAGAGGAAGACAATATTTACTTTAAACCGGTCATACCCCTGCCGGAGAAGGTGGACGTGAGAACTGGCGAGGAAGACGAGAGCGTTTTGTATTGCCATCGGGCTAAGCTGTTTAGGTTTGTCAGTGGGGAATGGAAGGAGAGAGGTCTCGGTGATGTCAAAATTCTTCAGAGGAAGGATAACGGGAAGTTAAGGTAAGATGATGTGTATACAAATAATGAACCTCACGGCTTTCACAGTACCCCCCGAATCACAGGAACACAATCGGACGTGATAAACACCTTTCCGTTTTACCAAATTCAGGAATTCAGTGAAAATAATTTTTTTAGTTATAATTTTTATCGAAATTGAAATATTTCCATGACAATTTCAAATATTTTTCCTACAACTTATCGTCTTCTCTTTTAGGGTGGTTATGAGGCGGGAACAGGTGCTCAAAATCTGCCTGAACCATCATCTGACCAAAGAAACCGAATATATACCGAAGGATGAGAAATCGTGGCTCTTCCACGCCGCCGATTTCTCCGAGGGGGAGATAGCGCACGAGCAATTCTGTATTAGATTTAAAAACTTGGAAGTGGCGCAGGATTTCAGAAAGGCTGTGACCGACGCTGTGAATAACGCAGGCGGCGGCGATAAAGGTAACGATTTCAATGATAATAATAACAATCCGACGGGTCCGGTAAAGTTTACTAACGATACTAATTTGCTTGTGTATTCCAGCCTAGCTGTGTTTGCTTTGGCTCTTTGTTATATTTATTTGAAAAGTAGATAATTGTTGGTTTTTCGATATTAGTTTGTTGTATGCAATTTTTTGTTTTGGTCAATATTCTTGTGATTGTTTGTTGTCCAGTCGCTTGTTAAGTTTTTTATTAATAAATCTAAAGCAAATTGCATGTTTTGTTTTGTTTGCAAATTCCCCTAACCTTTAGCTTCAGTTCCATTTTTTTACTTATAACTAAATTTTTCCAGTAATTTTAAATAAAAACCTAAGTTACTCTTTCACTGTGTTAGTCTGGAACAAATCCGCAAAAAATATTGACCATACATCATATATTTTACTTATGAAAAAAAATGAAAATTTCACTTTTTTAAAACTGGTTCTAATTATCTAGTAAAAATAATTTTTATATACAGGGTGATTCAGAACTTATCCAAAAAAAAATTGTGGATGTACAGGGGACCCTTAAAAATACACTTCTGCACGGCACTGGAAACTGGTCCACTGTAAAACCGGCATGGC